TTCTAATTCCCCTCAAATATCTACCTGTTTGTCACCATCATCATCACCACCATCATCATCATCATCATCATCATCATCATCATCATCATCATTATCATTAACTTCAGACTGTGAAAAAGACATTTTAAAATTTACCTGAAATTGCAAAGGGCTAAGATTAGCAAACCAGTATTTTACAGGGAAAAACTTTTGAAGTTGTGTTCAACAAAACATTAAAAACCATAGCATATGCAATATTTTATTCACTCAGAGAATAACCATATATTCACTTAAAATGAACATAAACTACCATCGATAATGTATATGAAAAAATTGAACACAGTTGGGAAATAAATAAATAATAAATGAATGAATGAATAAATAAATAAATAGAAAAATTTGAATTAAATCAAGTGAGAATGCAGTTTGGAGTTGATCAACCTCCTTAGTGTCTCTTTCACATCTTTGTTCCTAAGGCTGTAGATAAGGGGATTCAGCATGGGGATCATGACTATGAACAGCACAGTGGCCACTTTGACCAGGAGCTTTCGGCTTTCAGAATTGGTGATGGCAGTCAGGTGGGAGGCACAGGTGGAGAAGGCTTTTCTGAGTCCACCCGTGGAAGGCATCTTCATGATAGTGACAACTATGAAGACATAGGAGGCGAGGATTATCAGGAGGCTACAAAGCTCATTGAATGTAGAAATGACTAAACATGCCATCTGGCTGAAGTAGGGGTCAGAGCAGGATACAGAGAGGATGGCAGAGAACTCACAAGCAAAGTGATCTATGATGTTATGTCCACAGTAGGATAGTTCCAAAAGAGAACATGTGAGTGTCAAGGAACAGAGTCCACCCCATGTATAAGATCCAGCTACCAGGAGAACACAGAGCTTAGGAGACATAGCAACTGTGTAGAGCAGGGGGTTACAAACAGCCACAAACCGGTCATAGGCCATCACTGCTAACATGAGCATTTCGGCAATCACAGATTCACAGCTAAGGAAAAATTGTAGCATGCATCCTGTGAAGGAGATAGTTCTGTCTTCCATGACTAAGATTTCTAGCAGTTTGGGTATAAACACAGTGGAATAACAAATATCCAAAAAGGATACATGGCTGAGGAAAAAGTACATGGGTGTATGAAGTTTGGGGTTCATCTTTATGACCACAACTATGCCCACGTTACCCACCAGAATGACTGTGTAGATGACCAAAAACACCAGGAAGAGGGGCATCTGGAGTCGTGGATATTCTGAGAATCCCAACAGGATGAATTTGTCTACAGAGCTCTTGTTTTTCTCATCCGGTACCATGGCCCTGTACTTAAGAGAGTGACAGAAAGAGAGAGAGACACACAGAGAGAGATAGAAGTAATAAAAGAATAAAAAGCAAGAAAAGAAAATCAAAGTAAATAAAATTGAGCAACAGAAGAGAAGGTCGGGTGGGAGGAACTCAGGAGAGGCGAGATGTACAACTGGGAGGACGTGTATGGTCAGTTTGTACACATGACAGCTCCGCTTCACCTTTCATGACAGCTCTGCTTCACCTTGAAGTCTTAGCACCTTATTGTCTTTGTAGTATGTGCTTTAAGCTTTATCTTTCAATACTTTAGTTTACTGATCTGGAAAGCAAGAAAAAGTAGTACTTATCAATATTGATATTTTACATAAATTATCTGTAAATGTGTGTGATTCTTAGAGCATTGAATGTTCCATGAGAAAATATTATTATATGACAAAAAAGGAGACATAGAGAAAAAATCTGACAAAAAACATTGAGCAGATTATAACAGCCATATAATCATGGCAGCGGTCTTTGGAGTTATAAACAATTTCAATAAATAAAAACATAATAGTAAAATTTTGGAGGAGAAAAATGGATCCTGTCAGACATTCACGGTTTTGTATTGTTATATTGGTATTGTTATATTGAATTTGTACATGGATCCTGTCAGACATTCACGGTTTTGTATTGTTATATTGAATTTGTACGCATTCTAAATGTGTGTTTTATTAAGGATTCATAGAACATCTTAGGATCTTTAATTAGTCTGATCAAAAATTCCACTTATATAAATGTTCTCTCAACTATATACCCCACCATATGACAATTTATGAGACTCAAAATGCTCAATGATGCAAAGTTGTCTCCTGAGGAAGTATTTTGGAAGTATTCTATAAGTTTCACATTGATTCTCCTCTGCTGGTTGTGCAGTCTGTTTGTAGGGCATATTCTATTAAAGAGAAAAATATTCACTTGTTTATCAGCAATTATAAGCCACAAAATATATAGTACTAAAAAAGAAGGTATCTTTTAACAACAATAAAAATCCCTTTCTTGATGTGAAAAACTTAGATGTGGCGATCAATGAGGAATAACTGAATACGTACTTCTGAAAAATTTAAACTTTTTATTTTTGCAAACCACTTCTAGTCTGATGTTTAGAAATTTCACATGATTAAACCAAAACAAACAAACAAGCCAAAAAAACTCCGGAAATAGATGTGAAAACCCAACAGATCTAATGTTGCCACCTTAAACACAACTGAAAACTGTCACAGCCTTAGCCTTGTCTGTAACAATCTGCAGCCTACCATCAACTCTACCACTACCAATGCCAGGGACGGAGCATCAGCTATGAGACAGGAGACTGGGTGGACTACTTGTGAACTTCATGTATTTAGTCACATGTGTTAACTTAAAAGAGGCTAACCTTTAAATTCGGGAGGTTGGGTTGCTTTAACTGGGTCACAACCAAGCAGGATAAGAATTGTGAGATCCAGTCTGCTACTACTGCAAGGCAGCTAGATTTAGTTTTATATTTAATAAAGGTTCTAGAACTTGAACTGGAGAAAGAATCCAAGGAATGGTTAGACCATGCTCTGCCTAATAGAAACTAAGTGACTTTTCTCACCCCAGTTAGACCAGCTATTCTCAAAAAGACAGTGAATAATAAATGCTGGCAAGGGTGTGGAGAGAAGGGAACACTCCTAGGTAGTTGGTAAGACTCTAAATTAATAAAAACACTAAGGAAAACAGTATGGAGGTTTCTCAAACAACTACAGATAGATCCTCCATATGATCCAGCAATCCCACTTCTGGGTATATACGCAAAGGAATGGAAATCATCATGTTGAAGGGATACCTGCACTCCCATGTTCATCACAGCTCTGTTTACAATAGCCAAGATATGGAACCAACCTAAATGCCCACCGATGAATGATTGGATAAGGAAACTGGTATATATACACCATGGAATACTACTCAGCCATGAAAAAGAATGCAATTCCCCCATTTGCAACAACATGGATAAGCTTGTAGAATCTTATGCTGAGTGAAATATGCAAAGCACAGAGGGATAAATACCGCATGTACTAACTCCTACATGGGAGGTAAGAGAGAACGAAGGAAGGAAAGAAAGACCTCAGTGGTGTGTTGGACTTGTAGAGGTAGAGAACAGACCAAGGGTTATCAGGGGTAGAAGGGTGGAGGGGGAGAGAGGTTGGGGAGAGGTTGGATGGGGGACGTGGGGAATAATTGCAGTTTGTGGTAATGGGCATGCTGATAGTATTGATATGATCATCACTTCTTGTAGACTTTTTGCCAACTCACAGGTGGTGATGGTCATCTTTGTGCCCCATGAATATGCATAATCAATAAAATAAAGAAATATATGCTGGAAAAGAAAAAGAGGCTCCCTCGATGATGATGCTTTGTTGTAGGTCTGTAGCTGGCAGGGTCTGAAAGTCCCCTTGTCCTATGTGGTCACTCAGGTGGCTCTTTGGACCCTGACACCCCATTCTGTCTACTGGGAAATCCAAACCTCACTAGAATCCAAGAAGGGCAGACAAGAAGGGACCAGTGTTCTCGTCTGGCCCTTCATCTCCATCCATTTATGCAACAAGCATTTATTGTGGCCCAGTATGTATCAGGCACCATGCCAGGGATGTGATGGTTAACCAGAGAGTAGGGACTTCCATTCAACTAATTCTTAAACCTTTAAATGTCCTTCACCACCTCCTGAGGCATCCACTGGTTCCATTCATAGAGGAAGCTGATGGTTGGCTAGCTCTTTCCTTATGTGGAGCTGAAATGTATCTTCTGCCCTTGGGATACTTAGAACAAGACACAGTTTACACTACTCTTTTAAGAGTATGAGGTTTGGCCATACCTCGTTATAAATCCTGGTGTGAATCTTGGTCAGGCTATTTAAACTCCCCGAGCCTCAGTTTCCCCAATTGAAAAAATGGAACAACAACGTTGTTCATATTGTATCTTCAAGTGCTTTCCTGATGCAAATGGGTCTAACTTTATATCTGGAGTTCAGAGAAATTAAAAATTATATCAAATATTTAGGGACATTTTACTCGGGCTTCTTGCTCTTTTTCTCTCTAGACAAGCACTTTTAATATTATTGGGTTTTGTTTGGTTGGTTGTTTTGAGAGGTGACGTGTTGGTTTTCATTTGCTTCCCTGCACTGGTTACTGAATAACTCAGACAAGCTTCTAGCTAGTCTCAGTACACCACTGACCCTCTCATGTGATATTGAAACTAAGAAGGAGACTTCATCTTCTCAGGAGTATCCTGCCATACCAAGAAGCAATGAACTCATCAATCTTCTTTTATTTGCTGTATATCTAATGGTGATGCCTGAGTACTTGGTGATGCCTAACTGTGTCAGGTCAATTTACTGTCATGCAGGCTTTGTCCATGGTTACTAGAAAGGCACAAATCCTGTGCTTGTGCATTAGAGATTTTCTGGAATATCCAGATTGTGCATTTATTAACCTTCCTGGACTGTTTGTTTTCTTACCTCCCCTTGCTGCTTGCACAACATTTTATTGTGATAGGATCCACACTTAACCCCAGATACTTGCCTTTACTACGTCACTCTGCTTGTCCAGAACGCTTGCACTGTTTCTTCAAGATTCCAGTAATATCACCCAGCACCAGAGTCCATTCCAATGTTATAGACCCCATTACAATATGGGAAATTTGTTAAATCCTTGTTAAGTATTCTTTCATCTCAACTCCTGGAGAATACATGTAGTGTGCTCAACATAAACTTAAAGTTAAATAATTTCGAGGCATTTTAATGTTCAGGAAGAGTTCAAGATCACCTAAAATAATGTGACACTCCCTTACCCATCTCACAACAGTTTTGAGTGCCAGGTTCACAATGTATATNACAAGCACTTTTAATATTATTGGGTTTTGTTTGGTTGGTTGTTTTGAGAGGTGACGTGTTGTTTTTCATTTGCTTCCCTGCACTGGTTACTGAATAACTCAGACAAGCTTCTAGCTAGTCTAAGTACACCACTGACCCTCTCATGTGATATTGAAACTAAGATGGAAACTTCATCTTCTCAGGAGTATCCTGCCATACCAAGAAGCAATGAACTCATCCATCTTCTTTTATTTGCTATATATCTAACGGTGATGCCTGAGTACTTGGTGATGCCTAACTGTGTCAGGTCAATTTACTGTCATGCAGGCTTTGTCCATGGTTACTAGAAAGGCACAAATTCCATGCTTTTGTATTGAGATTTTTTGGAAAATCCAGATTGTGCATTTATTAACTTTCCTGGACTGTTTATTTTCTTACCTCCCCTTGCTGCTTGCACAACATTTTATTGTGATAGGATCCACACTTAACCCCAGATACTTGCCTTTACTACGTCACTCTGCTTGTCCGGAATGCCTGCACTGTTTCTTCAAGATTCCATTAACATCACCAAGCACCAGTGTCCATTCCAATGTTATAGACCACATTACAATTTGGGAAATTCTTTAACTCTTTGTTAAGTATCATTTCATCTCAACTCCTGGAGAATACACGTGATGTACTCAACATAAACTTTAAGTTAAATAATTACAGAGCATTTTAACATTCAGGAAGAGTTCAAGATCACCTAAAATATTGTGACACTTCCTCACCCATCTCACAATTGTTTTGAGTGCCAGGTTCACAATGTATATTCATTAATTTGCAAATAAAAGAAGTACCAAAAATGCATAAAGAAGACAATAATTGTTAAGATAACATTATGGTGATAATTTTATCAAGGCAGTTATGGTATTATTTTGAATTGATTAAGCATGGTAGCTGGGAAGATTACTGGAGCTGAATGAATAAACTATATTCTTGTTCACAGCAAAGCAATGTTTTTTTTAAATGTCCCACCATACTGTTTTGTGAGAAACTCTAATAGCTATTTTTTTCTCTTCTTTAAGGGAAGCTGATTTGAATGTATGGAAAAAAATGTAGTATATCATACTATTTTGTAGAAAACACAGGTTTAGGAAGCAGATC